AAAGTAGTAGCTTCGGGCCTCCGAATGTATGTAAGGACTTTGCAGATTATAAAATATCGTGCCACAGGATAACACCCTTATGAGTTTATGTTCGACCCATCGTGCCACAGGATAACACCCTTAGTCAGAATTTATGTTCGATCCTTAAAGTAGCACCCCAATGTTGACCAGCGTTCAGCTAAGGCGTCTATACGAAGCATACGGACCAAGATTTGCTTAATTCGAAGCCGATCTAAGCCTCTAAACCCTTATACCTTCGATTCCTTTACAATTATCAACATCATGATCCCCTTTACAGAAATCCCAAACCGTACACGTTGCCTTATATCTAGACCGGCGCCCAGAACATCTACCCGATAGAGTGGACCCTCTGTATGTGTGAAAGACAGGGAACCAGGCTATCTGTTATCACAACATCCCCCGAGCCCCGCTAAACATTAGGCCCTGCATGCATTGCATATAAGCAGTAAAAAGACAAACACAAACCCTTCAAGACTTCGAAGGCAAGCAGCGTTTGAGACTAAAGCACAGCCTCAACGCATCCTGATCTGCCTGGACACCGTCCAAGATCAGTCTGTATCCAGATGCCAAGGGTTGCCCAGCAAGCTGCCGCCGATGCGGCGGATCGAGCAGCTCACCGAATGCATTTTTCTCCGGGTAGTAGCCGGAACCTCATGCATGTGACATGTTGGTTCAAGGGGTAACGGGCTCTCACACCCGAAACATGAAGTGCCATACTGNNCAGTATGGCACTTCATGTTTCGGGTGCGGGTGTTCAGAGTCTCTTAAGGCAGCCTTGAAGTGGAAGAACCTCTATAACCACAACTCCGAAGGCACACTCAGTATTACGTCAGCGTCCTCTAGTTGAAATGCAAGCAGGACACTGCAAGCAAAAGACCACTGGATGACCTGCAAGATCGTAGCACGTGCTTCAGCCGTCTGCGATGTGGCGTTGACGCATGATAACCTGGCGGCGTGTGCTGCACTGCTTGCGTGGCCTCCCATCTGCAGGTATGCGTATCTCTGCTGCAGACAAAGAAGCAGCCATCGTGTGTCAACAGTTGACGTAGATCTGCCGAGCACCGATTGCAAGGCTATAACCTCGAACTTCTGATTGCCTTGGGACAGACATGTGAGGTAGGACTTTCGGCTGCATGCGCATTGCCAAGCGTCGCATCGCTTCTGCCCCGTCCATGTATATGCGAACTGGAATACATCTCGCCAAATCTATGGAGGCATCCTGTGAAGTTTGCAGCTTCAGATTTCAGGAGTGAGTCGGTGGAGGGCCGGACACACTCGCCAAGGGATCATAACTAAGTTAAGCCTCTCCCAGAATTGGGTGGTCATTGAACCATGATGGATCCAGAGATTTTTCCTTGCGCCAGTAGGCTTCAATGTCCTCAAACACAGGTTCTCTCGATTTCACACAGGGCTCCGAGTTCAGGCTACGGTTTAGGGTTGGGGATCCTCGTTACAGCGATAGTTGGGAGAGGGTTCTTGGGCTGCTACACCCGTAGTAGCGCAACCATTGACACTCCAAGAATATCCCCAACCAAAAACTTCCGACGAGGACAGCGAGATGATGGGTAGCCATTTGCTATCGCTGGTGACTGGTGCAGGCGCACAAACTCGATTTGAGATTTCAGGCTTCAGACTTCAGGGAACACGGGAGGTAAATCAATTAAGACGGCCCTGCAAAGCCTTTATCACCCCCAACAGCGATCTAGATTGGCTTGGGGCTTGTTCTGGATTTTCATGAGCATCGGTTGGTCTCAGGCAATGCAATCAACCGCTGCGCAGCAAAGGGTTGTGTAAATGTTCGGGCCAAATTCTAGAATAGCCGTGGCACTCCTGGATCTCCAATCAGCTTTCGGAGCATCTCTGATCGCTTCGAGAAGGAGCCCAGCAGCTCGTGGGGCAGCAGCATCTCATGTTCCAACATCAAACGTTTTCTCTTGCCGCGGGCATCTTGTCGTTCCTGAGCAGGGCAATGCCAAGGGGGGCCGTCTACCATTGTGTAAAATACGGTTTTATGAGGGAGAGAGATTGTGTGACAAAGCATATCTCAGGATTTCTGGTTTTGTAGGGTTGATTCTATACATATATAGGGATGTAAAATACAGTTCAGTGTCTGAGAAACCAGGGGGTGACAGGCAAGTTCATCATGTATATTGTTTGGCAAGCTTGTTCAAGAAATTAATTTAGGCTGTGGGTTTGGGGCCTGTTGGACCAGAAGCCAGGGCACAATAGGTATCGGCAGGATGTAAGGCTTTCGAAGTACATCTCCTTGGCTCGAAAGCCAGCGCAGCACTAGTTTAGCTAGGATCTTTTGGTACACCTGCAAAACAAGTTTCTCCAAGGTTGGCGATCAACCCACTTCATCAGAACAGGACCAGCGCTTCGCTTGTGCCGGCTGTTGTCCAGCATCTGCACCAATTCTTGAATATCATCCCTTTGCTGGTGCACTCTTCACAGCTCGATTTTCGAAACGTTGGGACTATGTGGGGTTTTGGGCTATGAGGTATCCCATCTGTATTTGTTCCAGGCCTTGCTAGATGATTTGTAGACAAGCTTCGGCACCAGCCAGTACGGTACGTCTGCAAAGCGACCTTGGCAGGATACAGGTGCAAAAGCGTACTGCTGGCTGTGGCTTTTCTGGAATGAGAAGCAGGCTTGTTAATGAACGGACTCTTTCCAGTGGGACCTTCAGGACTGTGTCACATGGAAACCTCTGTACCTGGTCACTTGTCATTAACCAATAGCGGATGCCCGCCTCGCCGGTCCCCAGCATCTCAAAGATTTCTGTAACCGTGTCATCGATCAGCTTCGTGGCCCATGACATGACTCTCACAATCAATAAATCATCACTGCTCGTACTGCTCAGTCACAGACCGAGAGACACGTTAAAGAGCACGCGTAAGGAGTCGGAACGATGGTAATGTTAGGGTCAGGAAATAAGGGTTGAGGGTTTCAGGCTTAAGGTGTAAGGCATATAGTGGTTCAATAGGGGCTTTGCATTCATATAGGTTAGGACTTAGAGGTTTAGGCTTTCGGGGCTGTGGAATATGCAATGTAACAAACTGCCGGGTTTTAAAAGTACATCGTGTATAGGTGTTGGCTTTCATGGTTATGTGGGTTTAGGGTTTAGGGTTTTGGGGCTGAGGGTTTAGGGTTTTGGGTTTTAGGGTTTTAGGGTTAAGGGTTTAGGGTTTAGGGGCTGTATATAGTTCCAGGCACCAAAGCTCGAAGTGGAGGACGTGACAGATGATGGCTTTATGACACCTGAAGTTACAGTCAAATCGAGCCTCGTAGTGCAGCACAAAATAAGCAGTGATCAATCAAAACAAAGGTCGGCACGAATTGAGCACTAACACCCACGCACTCACGCATGACTTCACACTTGCAAGTAGAAGCCGGCATTTCCCCAGGTGCACATGCGGCCGTGCACAATCCAGTGACACACTGCTGCCCAGCTGCATGAGCTGTCCCTGAAGACTGACAGTGCACGATGCAATGCTTCTGTTGCGAAGTGCCTTGTAGTTATGTCTACAGCACAGAAACATACGACATAGACACTCATGCACCCTGCTGCTGGAATGCACACGTGGCATTGTAGAGCATATACGTGCCGACTGGCTAATGTGCAATTGCTTCGCACGCGCACATCAAGCTCAAAGCTAGATTTCACCTATAAGGAACGAAGTGGCATACGATGGGCTGCCGCCGTGGCTTCAGCATCTTGTCGAGAGTTAAATAGGTGGTTCAGAAACTTACAAGTATTGGTCACTACCACAAAAAGTGACTCTACTATATCTTCTAAAATAAGCACACAAGATGGTTTCTGGGGTGTGGACAGTGAGCGGGGCGTTTGGTTTGCTACATACAAGCCATAGAAGACACTGGCACACTCCGACAGCCTTGCAAAGTACCAGCGCCGGTACTGTTCTCCACCAGTAGCACAGCACATCAAGCGAGCTGTTGAAGTGTCGAGTTCATGCGATGTCATGACACTGCATGTGCTCAGATGAAGATAAGAACATCGCACCACATGGCAAAAGTTCGATCAGCCTAGCTCGTGCGGGCACGCTTCCTCTCCCACTGCGACCATTCATCATCTTCCTCCCAGTCCTCCCCATTATCTTCCTCCCAATCATCATCATCATCCCATTCCCCCTGGTCGTCGGGCTCTTTGTCATCATCTCCCTCATTTTCGGTTTCCTTGGTCTTTTCCTGCTCCTTCTTCATTTCCTTCTCTCTTTTCTTTCTTTCCGCAGCCAGCCCTGCAACAATAACGAGGCGCGCACACACGCACACACACACACACAGACACCCAACACTACTCAGAACTCCATCGCACTGAAAACGAACGACACTCAGGAGTGCACGCCGTTCGTGGGCTGCCACTATGGCTTCCGCTGCCTGCACCTTTTCAGTTGCGGCCTGGCCAATCGAGGGGATCTTGGGGATTTGCTTCAGCACTACGACCCTAAACTCCTATAAACCCTAAAACCCTATAAAGCCCTTAGCCCTAAAAGCTTTCTTGGTTACGGGGCAAAAGCTCGGCAGAACTCACAGAGCCACCGGGTCGTACAAAGTTTCGGGTTTTAGGGTTTAGGGTTTTGGGGCTTAGGGCTTCAGGGCTCTACGGTTTTAGGGTTTTTTAGGGTTTAGGGTAGAAGCCTGAAGCTACCATAGATCCCACGTCATAGAACCCTTATTGGACCTAGGGCCTAGGGGTTAAGGGTTCAGGGTATATAGGGTAGGGTCTATAGGGATATCAACCCTCGCCATAACCCTTTAAAGCCCTACACTGTAGAATAAACACTGACATGAGGCACAGGCCGAACAGAATCATTAAGCAATCGAGAATCTGAATTATTGGGCCTGGGGCACAATGAACGCCGAAAAACATATGCTTAACTAATCCCAAATCACCAGGCACTCAAACCTCGAACCCAAAAGCTCTGCAACCAATATCACCCACGCATATACATACGGGATCAACAGGCTGAAGAGAGCGATGCATTCGGGATGAAGCTGGCCTCGATCATCTTCCTATTGTCCTTGAGGTGCCAGATCACGTCCTCGAGCGGCGTCCCTGCAAACAGTAACTCGTTCATCCTCAGCATCACAGGAAGTCGTAAGTTCATCGATCTCAAACACGATGATGGCTGGATTATTGCTTGCAAGCCACTCACTGTGCAATGCAAGGAGCTGCTTATGCACCTCTTTCAAGCTGTCGACGGTTGCCTTGTATGGGGCTTGGTTTGACAGGTTGGAGCAAGGGGGTGCTATTGGTTGGGGTATGCTTAGAAGGCATCTATTGAAGTTGGAACTAGTGTACAAGATCGACCTATGTTCCTGTACAAGCCGAAACAATTTTGTCTTGATATTAATGGCAGAAGCCTCCTGCAAAGGCATTCGGTGTTCGTGAATGGCCCTCGCCACATTCCTGCTCTTCGTGGCCAAAGAGTTCAGCCTCGGTTCAGGCAGGGATCAATCAGTGCATTGCTTAGGGCTTATGAGGGGTTCAGGGGTTTACGTTTGGTGCGATTATAAAAAAACTATAGGATTAAAAGGGTTTAGGGTCTTTTTCGGGTTTGGGGCCGAATATCTTGTTCGGAGTGGCGCAGCCATGTCCTTGTCGAAGTCCTTCTGTTGCTGCTGCTCCGGGGCCAGCTCCTGTTGCATGATGGTATTGAGATGTAAGTGGGATGTAAACAAGCTCGTAGCGGATGCAAGAGATGTGTTCCGAAGCCTTCGGAGTCTTCTTCTCTTTTTCTTTGCCCCCGGGAGGGGCATCAGCACTGTCTTTCGACATGTCTGCAGCCCGAGCCGTCAATGTTTCTGCCAGCGCTGTTCGAGCTGCCCGGTTGCGTGGCACCGAGGCCACACCGCTGAGCTTGGTGCCGACTTTGGACCGTGTCTTGCCTCGATCAAATGGAAGCTTTCATGTATGAAGCTACGGGCTAGTGCAAACAACAAAGCACATGATTCAGAATCGCACTGGAGTCTAGTGAGGACTTGAAGACGCGGTATATCCGCATGTCGGCATTTGCTGGGTCCTGCGCAGGATGAAAGGATGAACTTAGATTGGGAGACTCACACATGCCTACAAAGAGCGGGGCTTCTAGCAGAAGGTCCTGAGGGTGTGGCACACCCTTCTGTTCTTGGCAAGCAGACTCATGACACGAAACATCTCATGTTTCAATACCATAAGGCTCTACAAACTGAGCAAGGGGCTGTCAACCACCTGCTTCTGCAGGAATTCTTGCAGAATCGGAGTCGTATACATTTTGCGTAGTTCTTCAAGTGGCAGCTCGATAAAATTGTTGGATCCCTCGCGCTCTGCTTCCCTCAGTGATTGCATCGGTGTAGATACACACAGCCTGTGCATGTGACGTGTGTGCTTGCATGAATAGCTGTAGCTTGCAAGAAAACATGCAATAGTCAAGCCCAGTCTCTCGATATAGAAAGCTTCGATTGTCATCGAATCCAACGTTGGGTCCAGCATGTAGGCCTTCAGGAACTCGAACCTCACAAGGTCAAAACAGCCCTGGATCACATCAAAAAAGTGAACACAGTCTTGGCTACGGGTCGACAGTATCATGCTGCAACCCATTCAGGCTTGCACTTGGCAGCATTGGTGTTGGCTGCGTTGAATTTCTCGAGCAGCCCCGGCCGCAAGCCTATGCAGGGTTTTGGGGTATTTCGGCTTAAGTAGAATTAAGGTCCGATCAGGGGATTATATATGGAAAAAATGATATCTCAAGGGGGTGTTTGCAACCCGGCCGGGTGATGCCATTTTTCTTCGAAGTGCTTCGCGTTGGCGTTTGAGTTCACCTGCGTCCATGTCCGAAGGGTTTGCCAGAGCCTGCGACAGGATGCAACCGAAACATGATTCATAGGTCGTTACGGGCTATACTTGGACAAAGCCTATGGTTTGTGTGGCACTGGGGTTGTAATTCGACACACATAAGTTGTTATGGCCTACTTTGGGATAACTACTAAGGCCCCTATATGGAATAAGAGGTCGCTCCACGGAAGCCGGAGACTGGTGAACCCCCAACAAAGGCCAGAGAACCTCAGAGTTTTCGGACGAAGAGACCCAACAGATGATAACGAGAATGCTACTAGGGTTTAGGGTTTAGGGCTTAAGGGTTGTAGGGTTTAGGGTTTAGGGTTTTAGGGTTTAGGGTTTTAGGGTTTAGGGTTTAGGGTACTGGCTAAGGTTTGGTTTCAGGGTTCAAGGGAGCTTTTATTTATGAAAGGGGTCCTGCCGCTCATAAGGTGTATAGGGGTTTTAGGAGGAGAATACGGTGTTCTGGATGGGCTTATATCTACACATAGGTAAAGGTGTACTTGTTCCTTTTCGAGCTAATGCCAAGGGTAAACAACAGCAGGCAGGGGTCAATCAGCTCGGGCGCACACAACCTGCGACCTGGCCTTGATCTGTGCCTTCTGGTCCTCTGTCAGCACCTTGACCCGCTTAACTCTTCCTTCATCATTTCTGACCCCGAGGGGACCGATGGCGAGAGCCCCCGAACCATCACTGACCACACTGAGGCTCGAGTTGACTCGCTTCAGAATCCTGCCAGAAGAACCGATTGTGTTCGAACATCGAACCGACCCAGCTATGTACAAACTAGGTATGCATGTGCATGGGCTGACAGTAAGGAAGTGGCCCTTTCGGTGTCGAAGATGCCTCCGTCGGCGTGCCTGGCCGATCACATGAGCCAAGTTTCAAGTTATAGTGGTTCAGTTGTTTAACTTCAACTTTCGGGTCACATATGCCTAATACCACCCGTCTACCCCTGAAGCGTATGATGAAGCCTGTGCTTCAAAATCAACAGCACCCCAACTCTCGATCTTAGATCAACGTCCCAATGGTTGGTCAGGGAGCTGGAGTGTCAGGGTTTGGGCAGCTTTGGATTCTAGTGGTTTACTGATTCAAGGTTCTAGGAAGCATAGGGGGTGGCAGTAGTTGTAATGAATTATGTATATGTAAATATATGTATTCATACACACGGGGATAGGTATAGAGACTCTGGTCAATAAACACAAACCATATATACATGCACATGTGCAAACACACACACACACGGACATATAAATAAATAAATATATATATATACATATTTAGAAACACGTTCTGAAACATTCTGTCTAAGATTTTGTACCTCTATACCTGTCTATGTATCTACCCGCCTATCCACCTACCTACCTCCCTGCCTAGCTTGCTAGCTTGCCATCTATCTGTCTATTTATCAACTATCTATCTGCCTATCTGTTTATCTATAGGTGTGTATGTGTGTATACATATTGACATGTGCAGGACACACCGGTATCAGCCTTCTGCTTGCGAGGCCAATATCTCTAGGAGGAAGTCGTTGTAGGCTTTCAGGCTTTCCGTAGGATCATCCTTGGATAGCATCTTCCACGTGAAATGCTTCGAGCCTTTCCTGGCATATTCCATGAACTCATCAAAGAGCTCGCAGCTTTCGATGTTCTTCTTTCTGGCAAAAAGAGCTTCAGACCCGCAACTGTCGTACGAAAAGGTAGGTGACAAAGCCACCAGCGCGTCGCAAAACTGGTCCTTCTCCACGTCGACGATAGACTGGTTGCTGCAGTCGATGATGTCGAGCTTGGACTTGCAGCTTCTGGGCGTCGCACACTTCCCCGGACTCTCAAGCGAACCTGCACCGCCCTCGTCGCTCCAGGACAGTCTGCGCTTGACTGACCGAGAACCTTCCTCCTCAGCTTCCTGCTCCTCAGCGGCTTTCTTCTTTCCGCTGCCTTTTCCTTTGCCTTTGCTGGCACTTCCTGGAGAGCCTTCCTCCTCAGCTTCTTCCTGCTCTTTGGTGGCGTTCTTCTTTCCTTTGGCCTTTCCTTTGCCTTTGCTGGCACTTCCTGAGCTTTCCTCCTCGGTTTCTTCCTGCTCTTCGGTGGCTTGCTTTTTTCCCTTGGCTTTTCCTTTGGCACTTCCTGCAGAGCCTTCCTCCTCAGTTTCTTCCTGCTCTTCGGTGGCTTTCTTCTTTCCCTTGGCTTTTCCTTTGCTGCCTTTGCCTTTGGCGCTTCCTGGAGAGCCTTCCTCCTCAGCTTCCTGCTCTTCGGCGTTTTGCTTCTTTCCCTTGGCTTTTCCTTTGCTTTTGCCTGTTGCACTTCCTGGAGAGCCTTCCTCCTCAGCTTCCTGCCCTTCAGCGACTTTCTTCTTTCCTTGGGCCTTTCCTTTGCCTTTGCTGGCACTTCCTGAGCCTTCCTCCTCGGTTTCTTCCTGCTCTTCGGTGGCCTGCTTCTTTCCCTTGGCTTTTCCTTTGCTTTTGCCTTTGGC